TAAAGGGTTAACGGGTTTTTACGTTTTCCTTTACTTTAGTTAGTACTACTACTCGTACTACTACGTAGAGTAGTAGTATATTATATATATATATATATATATATATATATAAAAAGTTTTTGTGTCTCAGAAATAGTGCATCTTGCAACATATTATCTAGACCGTCTATTTTGAAGATTTTCCTATGTTTATAGATCTCCTTGATTTTAACCATTTTTGGAGTTTTAAAATTTTCTAATCAGATATGAAAATAGATTTTAAAATAATCTTAAGCATTTTTTATAACAAAATTACATGTTATGATAAAATTTGGAGGCACACCTTAATTGGATTGTTGAAGGTCGCAACCTTATAGAAATCGCACCCTATAAAATTATCATTTTTAATTTTTAAAACTTATTTACTTTTATATATTCATGATCTTTGAAAATTTAAGTCCTAAATCCATCTCAAAAATGGATTTTTAAGAAAAGGCTAGTTCTAAATATCCACCAAATGATGGCCTTAAATTCGTTGTCTAAGTAACACTCTCAATTGGACATTTTCTCGTGTACAAAAATCTTTTTTTTTTGTTCTTCTTCTTCTTGAGAATAATCGTTGGATGAAAAGGGCGCGTGTGAAAGTTTATATCATACAAATACCGGCATAATAATATAAGGAGTGTGTAAGGGCATTTTTAAGGACTAAATATTTTTCCGCTAATGCTAAATGGTCGCATGCTGCTCATTTACTCCTTCGGTTAGTACCCAATTTAGGAGGAAATTCAGGATCCAAATTTTGGGGTTGTAACCTCTTCAACTCATAAACTAACTCCAATGAATAAACAAAAAAAAGGTTTTGTAATTTGCATTTTATATGCACTTGATTGAAAACATGATGTCCAATTTTCTATAGTGAGATCTAAGTATTAGAAAACTTAGAATTTCATTTTTTTTCTTTTAGAAATAAGCATCCGGTGATTCTTAGGTGGCTCCCTCTTTATGGGGTAAAATGTTGGGCAGACAAAAAATAATATATTCATAAAATGAGTATAGCAAATATGCGGATATTGAGATGGACGAGTGGCAAGACAACAAGGGATCGGATCCGAAATGAATATATTTGAAAAAGTTTAGGTGTGAAATTAATAATCAATAAAATGAAAGAGAATAGACTTAAGTTGACTGGCCATATGTAGCATCGACCCAATACAATACTTGTTAGGAGATGCGAATTAGTTTAAGTAGATTGAAAAAAGCAAAGGGTAGGTTAAAAATGACGGGTTGATTAGTTGGAAATAGTCGGAAAAGATATGGAGATATATGACCTCGGTGAGAGTATAACTTTAAATAGAGCATAATAATAGACCAGGATTGATGTAGCAGACTCCAATTAATTAGAAAAAAGTTATGATGATGACAATGGTCTTTAGATGTTTTCAAGAATGAAAGAAAAAAAAAAAATCGTCCCAAAAGAGTATGTGAATATTATGCTCCCACGGGAGTATAATAAGGTGACAGAGGAGTACCAAAATGAGTGGCACTTTAGCCGTCCATGCGTTTGCGTCTTAAATATGTCTGACTCATCACATTGAATGGAGCCGATAAATACAACACAAATGGATCCGATGTACGGTCCGTGTAATCCCTTAGGCCCCTAGTGGCTTTTCGACCTTTGATCGAGGCCGTTCATTTAATGGAGGAAAACTATTACTTCATAGCTAAAATAACTACGAAAATGCTTTTGAGTTTTCAAGGATATTACAACAATGCCACACACCTCAAGATATTTTGGAGCGACGCTTCTCTATTGCTCCCGCGGGAGCAAACTGTACACATACTCAGCTGCACAACCATTCCCTCATTCAGAAGGCCTATTCAGGAAGAAATGTTTTTTTACATGAAATTTTAGAACCACCTAAGAAAATGTATAAAGTGTAATTTGGAAATAATTTTGATTGAGGTTTGTTATAAAGTATAATTTGGAAATAATTTTGATTGAGGTTTGCCACTGGATTCATCATCATAGAGTATTTTTCTAGTTGTATTAGGTTAGCTACACGAATTTTGGTCTTGCTCTATCAAAAGTCATACCCTCAATGAGTCACAAGTCCCCATGTCTTTTATCACTTATTGGGTGTACCGCAGTGCATTGGGAATGCCCTACCGCAACATATGTGGTTTTTTGTGGGGAATGTCCTACCAACATAAGCAAGATAATGTTAATTTAAGATTCATAGAAAGTTGGGCAAAGTTTTACAAGTGACTATCTATCTAGTCGATACAACCCACTTTTTTTATCTTGACTTTGGACGGGTTAAGGAAAAATATAAAGTGCTTAGACCTAGGCTTATCTGTGTTGATATTGTAGAGATTAAATCTTAAAATTTTGGCTTACAAAGTTATTATTGGGAGAGTAAGTGGAAAGTATCTCATGTGGAAGTAAAAAATATTTTTGGCTTAAAATAAACGTTATTTTTGGCTTAAAATAAACGACCAAATTTTTACTCGAAACTGAAAAGCATTCCCCTGAAATGTGAAGACCTCTCTCTCTCTCTCTCTCCCCTTTAATGTGAAGACCTCTCTCCTTCTCCCCTTCTCTGTCAATCTCTCTCTAGCATACGCTTTGTGTGGATCTCTTAGAGAGAGAGAGAGAGAGAGTGGTATCATTCGAAAAACAGAGGGATGAGAGAGAGAGTGGGGTTGGTGATGGGGGTTGTGAGTGTGGTGTTGTTGGTTGGGGTTGGGAGTGGGAGCAGCACAGGAGCGGTATTTGTGTTTGGAGACGATTTGTTGGATAGTGGAAACAACAACTACATTCCTTCAATGGCGAAGTCCAACTTCCCTCCTTATGGTCTCGACTTCCCCCAAGGCCCCACAGGTCGATTCTCCAATGGAAAGACTCCCCCCACCGACCTCCTACGGTCTCTCTCTCTCTCTCTCTCTCTCTCTCTCTCTCTCTCTCATACATACATGAATACCACACTCCTTTCTTTTCTGGACACCATCTCTCTCTCACACACATTATTTTGAACAGCGGAGTTCGTAGGACTGCCTTATCCTCCACCATACACCGACCCGGCCACCGTTGGACCTAAGATCCTACAAGGGCTTAACTATGCATCCGCAGCTGCCGGAATTCTCGACCAGACCGGCCAGCACTATGTAATCTCTCTCTCTCTCTGGCCAGCACTATGTAACATCTCTCTCTCTCTCTCTCTGTCAAAATGACCCATGATGAGCATCCACCATCCACACTTTCGCTGGACATTAGAGATTGGACCCGAGGGATCATAACTTAGTAACAATCCGATCTCACTGGGGAGATATCGGTCCAATCACCATCCAACCCCAATATATAACTATTTAATGCATTGCTATAGTACTTTCCCTAGTGCGTACCGCATTGTCTCTCATATAATGCCTACATATTCGCTAAAATTTTCAATAATTCATGGATTCTCCGTATGTTATAAGTGCTTAAAATTCCCAAGATTTTTTTAAGGGTGAAGTAGTTATATTTAATTATGGATAGCAATGAGCCCTAGACTTAATTGGGGGGTGAGGACTTTAAATTTTTCCTAAATTTAATTGGTCTAAAAATGATAGGCATCTTAAACTTTCTCTTTAACCCGTCCAAATCTTAAGTAAAAGAGGTGGGTTGTGATAAGGTCGGCAGCCAACATGAAATTTTGTCAAAACTATTCGTGAATTCTGAATCTACATTAGTGGATCAGGATTCATGTAGTCGACTTCAATTAGTTGGAAAAAGAATTTGATGATGATGAATAAGCCCTAAAAAATTAAAGCTTACGCCAGGTAAAAGGGCAGCCCTAATTTAGTAAACGAATTAAAAAAAGATGGTAGAAACTCAAGAATATGGATGATTCCGGGGTTCAAGCATTTGTCTCACTAGAGACTGATATGTACATTCAAACACATGATCATGCATACTGAAAATTTCACATTTCTGCTGCATGATAGATTGCTAGAATCCCCATGAACAAACAGATTGAAAATTTTCGAGAGAGCATCGGAAACATGCTGGCCATAGTGAACCAGAACACGACCACCCTCTCGGCCCATCTCGCTAAGTCCGTGTTCATCATAGCCATCGGAAGCAACGACTACATGAACAACTACCTCCTGCCGGAGCTATATTCGTCGAGCGCACAGTTTACGCCGTTAGCCTTCAGCGACATGCTAGTGCGGCAGCTCGCCCAACAGCTCATGGTGGGTATTTTGGTAATTTCTCCAGCTCCATTTAAATTTTTAAATGCATTTGTTAGTTCTGTAGCGTAAAGGACTAGGGCTTTGGTGCATCTGCGGTCTCCTTCAAAAATCTATCTCAAAAATGGTTTTGGGGCTACAATTTTACAAGTCGATAACATCAACCATCGCGACCATGAAAATGAAAAAAAATGCATAATAAGCCTTAAAAATAGATTATTTCAAATATAGCTTTGGCTGCTTTCTTTAAATTTTTACCGATCATCGGATCTCCGCTGCTTTTTTGAGTTGCAAAATCAGATCTTCAATTATTCTTTTATTTTTTTTGGGTGAATCACAAAGTGGTTTGTCCGTAGCGGCGATTTGGGCCCTTATCCTTTGGTGAGAATAGAGTCAAACACTTCCATACAGAGCTCGGCAATACTACCGCCAAAGTCTTGCCGGCAATACTACCGCCAAAGTCTTGGGCCATTTACTTTTGATATAGAGAACTCACAATCATCATTGATCATTAAGTTTTAAATGATGTGGTTAAAGATGTGTTGTCATTTTGGCACAAAATCGAAAATAAATTTTCTCAAATGTTATAAAGGATTTTATGTCCAATGACACTAAAAACGATTGTCACATCTTTATACCAAAAATAAAGAATCTAATATAAGATCCCAAAACAAAAATATGAATCCAAACATATATCCATCTCTAAAATGTATAGTTGGAAAGGGGAATAGGACATCATTTAACTTTTCTTTTCCATTATGGATAGTGGTGGCAATGGATCCCGACCCAACCCTCTAAGATACACAGTTGGAAAGGGGAATAGGACCTCATTTAATTTTTCTTTTCCCTTATTGATAGGGGTGGCAATGGACTTGGACCTGACCCGAGACACGAGGGGTAGACCCGATCCAACTCTGGGTATGAGTGCACTCAGTGGGTCAAGTCCAAGTCCAAATATGAGACCCGAACGCTATTTGGGTCCGAGTCTAGGTCCGGGTCCAAGAATATTTTTCAAATCCCAATATATGAAATATATTTAAATATAATTAAATACATTGATATTTTAATTTCTTTTGTCATCGGTCGGGTCCAAGTCCAGCCCGACCCCATCTGTTGCCACCAATACTTAAAGAAAGTAAGGAACTAAGGATAGTTTGCTCAATTTTATTCCGAGGGGCATTTCTGTCCTTTCAATGGTGTACTTAGAAACTCGGTGCCTCTGCTTCTCCAGCGCACTTTCACAAGCATTTATATTGACCCATCCCAAACGGACCTTACTTTATTTGATTGTCATCCCATATTTTGAATTTTGAATTTTATTTTATAATGCATCTATCATAAATGAGATCGGTTGGTATTTAATACCGTTGATATTAATTGGCTGCGCTTTGAGTAGAACCTAGGCTCCAAACAACTCAATTAGAACCTTCCTTCATTCAAAGTTTAAAGCTTTGAATGTGGTTTCAATACAGAAAATATTTTTTGATAACCTTAAAATATATTTTCATATTTATTTATAAAGTTTAAAGCTTCAAACAATGGTGTATATCACGAGATCTATGAAAACTTGAAAACTTTTAAAATTGACAGTCCAAATATACATTACAAAATACACTATTTTCAAAACTTAAAATCCATTTTTTTCTTATGTCCATGCATCTTGATATCGAGATAATCAATTTGAAGATATTTAGACGTTAAAACGACCTCTTCTATTGAAAGTTTTGAGGTAGGCTCGAATTTTATTGTTTAGTGCCTCGGCTCTATATAAACTTTTCCCATATTAATTAATATTGGGTGGCTTGGAAATTAAAAAGGACAAGGACAAGGACGCGGTTTCTGTGAGTCCTAGTAAACCTATGTAGAAAGGCTCCTGGTAAAAATACATTTTTGAGATGGATTTTTTACCTAATTTTTAAGGAATATATAATCTCTAATATAGAGATTGTGAATATGCAAATATGAATAGGTTTTAAAAAATGAAAATGCTAATTTTATGAAGAAAACATTTAGACCATTGGTTTGAACTGTTGTTTTTTAAGAGACCACCCGTTTGCATCCATTTTTTTAAGATGGATGTTTTATGCTTTGGGGTGGGTGCGGGGGGGGGGGGGGTGTATACAACAATTTTCTATTTAAAAAAGAGGACTAAGAAGAATATCCTCTGGGATCCAAAATGATATAATTGATTTTCCCCCTAAAGAATCCCCATAAACTCTGCGTGCAAGTTCATGGATGGTCCGTCTCTTTATCTCATGCAAACTTATGAGAACAACGAAGGGAACCAAAAGCAAACCTAAAGGATGACATTGTAGCTCCCTCTCATGGATTGTGGACCTTCTAATATGGACAGGAAGTATCCAACAAGTATACGGATTCCCTTTCTAAAGGGGGCGGAATTTTGTCTCTGACTTTGTAATTTCCTTTTGATCTAATATAACTTTTGCTCTGTCAAAAAAAAAAAAAGGTATCCCACAAGTATAGTGTGGATTGTCGAAGGTTTAGACCATTGGACAGAACAGACATTGATTGACATTTCTGAGTTAGTAATCACCAGAGTAACATAAAATCAGGCGGCTGGCGATTCCAATCAGAGAAACCATGGAATCGCCTGAATCTCAGGGTTTTCTACTTTTTTTTTTTTTAAAGAATCTATTCATTTAATATAGCCTCGTCCAACTTTAGGTATTGCCCAAGTTGGATAGAAAAAATGGGAATACAATTCTGATTTTTGAATCACTGCTGTCAACTGTAGGTCAGTAGGTTCCCTACACAATACTTACAATATCCTCCCTACATTTCTATTTTTAGTGAAAATAAATAGAAAAGCCATATAAACAAGGAGAAGTGTTATATGTGTCAGGGGGCACGTAACTATATTTGCATCCCCCGAGGCATCAGACATCCAATCTTTAACCATCACTAGAAAGATTTTCTCGAATAATTATCATGTCCAATTTTAATTTTAATTTTTAATTTTTTTTTTATACGTACTAGTGATCTCCGTGTTAGAGATTACATATACCTAAAACGTTTAGTCTAAAATCCATCTCAAAATAGATCATGAAGAAGGATCGCATGTCTACATATGAGTCCTAGGACTTATAAAAACAGCATCCTGAAAACAATATATATAGATTTTCCTATCAATTTCATACATCTACAATATTTATAATTTCTTATGGGAAAAGTTTCTATACTATCCCTACGGCATAGAAGATCTATACTTCCCATACCATCCAGCCATCCAATTTTGATTTCACCGTTTGATCTTAAATCCGATGTCTCAAAGTATATTATTTTTAATTTTTTTTATACAAATTGTATGAATATGAAATTTGGTACATGCCATCTTCTCATTGGGGTGCACCTATAAAAAATATTAAAAATAATTTTTCGATAAATTATAATGACTAAAATACCTTTTGAAATTTTCAGGGGTATTTTGATCATTTTATTTTATTAGAAATTCTTTTTTTATATATATTTTTCGCTAGTGCAAGTTTGATAGAGGATTGGACACACAAAATTTCGTGCCTAAACAGTTTATAGAAAAAAATTTAAAATAAAATGGTATACAGAGGTGACAATGTGATTGGAGGAATATTTTGATAAGGGGAAATACATTAAGTTTTAAGTTGCAGGGGAAGCATAAAAAGCTTGCCCATTTCTTATTTAAGTATAATTTAGGAATAGGGGCACCACACAACAAGGGACACTGCCCACTCGTAATTTAGGGTGTATTAGCACCATGCTCACACTTGGTCAAGAAGTTCAGCTATTTTCTTTGGAAAAAGTGTAGTGTAGTATTTGTACGTCTTCAAACAGCACACTTACTGCTCCTCAATCTGATACAAACAATGGACGCTCAAGATGTGTCACTCTGATTGAATTCGACAGACTTGGAATGGCACTCCATTGTCATCTTGTCGATATCAGACAGTCGTAGAGCTGCTAGTGTAATGTTTTGAGACTAAACAGATACTACAGTATACATACTCTTACTGTAGTATACAAACTGTTCTTTTCCTTGACAGTTTCTCATCAGGCTCTGTTCTATATGGGAGCAAGGAAGCTGGTGGTGTCTTCGGTGGGGCCCCTAGGGTGCACCCCAAGCCAAGTGCACTCCAGTGGAGGGGCCCAATGTGTGGAGAGGGTGAACGAAATGGTCGTCCTTTTCAACTCTGCCCTCCGCACCCTCCTCATCAACCTCAATTCTCGCCTTCCCTCCGCAAATTTTGTTTTTGTTGATGTTTTTGGCATCATGTCTGACATCCTCATCAACCCCTACCTCTATGGTATGTATATAGTATGAAAGTGCCCATGCTTTTTACAAATAATTAGGGAACGTATACTATACACATCCTGATCAAGGAACACCGCGGGTGACACAAGATGTCATACACAGGTAGGAAATGTACCATCCAATCTCAAGATTATGGTGAAGTCCGTGAAGATGAACCATGGTTCATCTCCATTGCTCACCATGGAGAATGGACACTGAATGCTTCACTTGACTACCATGTAACATACACAAGGTGGTGGTGGTAATACCAGCAGTAGTATTCAACATGGTAGTTCGTAGAAACCCAACCAGAACCCTCTTGTAGAATCTTTCCCAAGATTTTCTTATTTTCCCTGAAAGAATAGGCAAGCAAAAATATAAAATGATCCATATGATCATGGTAACACTTAGCTCATGATACATAACCATCCAACCCATTGATCAGACAGTGATGGACTTCAGGTGCAAACTGTTACCACCTCATTCGGATCATAGTATATCTCCCCTAATACAAATGGTAACATTAGCTAGTGCTAACCATGATATATATCTCCTTTATTGTGCTTATGGGGTTGAAAATTAATTATATTCACAGGGTTCTCAGTGACACTGAAAAGTTGTTGTGAGGTCGGAGAAGGAAAGGGACAGATCAGCTGTGTACCATCGTCAATTCCCTGTGCAAACCGGAATTCTTACGCATTTTGGGATGGCTTCCACCCCACCGAGGCTCTTTACAGGGTAGTTGCAGAAAGGTCATTTTTTGGACCCCAATCTGATGCCTACCCTATGAATATCCAGCAGCTCACACTACAATAGCTCTTGCTTCTTCTAGTTCACTATCTCCTCTATATAGTCCTTATTTTTCCCTTTTTAAGTGATAAGCAGCAAGGAGCCATTTGTTACAAATGTTTTTTCTTTATTAAGTGATAATTAGGGTTTCACCATGACAATTAAATGTTACACTGAATAACTGTTACCTGAATATTCAACATCGTATCACTTTTGATGAAAAACTCATGTTGCATGGCTTCACTATCAATGGGCTTCAGATACCGGGTTTCTATCAGAAGAAGCATGAGAAATACCCTGTTCGATGCGCTGCACCAATAAATTAGTTGTTGTTTTTCTTTCCAAATAAATGCATGGAGAAAGATAGGTTAACATAACGAAAGCAGAATACAAACCAAAAAGAAAAAACTGAACGAGTTGGGGAAGATCCAAAGAAGAAAATATTATGTCAAACAAGAAAGTCTAAGAGGAGCATTGGACAGGTTTTGGGACTGCCAAGATAAAGGTTGGGTGATATTTTCTTTTGGGGTTCTTGGGGCGGGGGGTTGCCACAGAAATTGATAGTTAAAGAAACAATATGCCCTTAGCAGTACCAGAACCCAATGTAGAAAAATCTTATATACACTATTTCTCTCACACAAACACAAAGTCCACTCTTCCCCCCCTTCCCCACCACCAAAAAAATAATAATAATAAACCCGCCCAACCATATGTGTGTGTGTCTCCTGTGGGTGCACAAGCACACAAACAAGCATGTTTCTAGAGGACAAAAACAACCCAAGTCTGACCATAAACAAAGAAATTTGCTCCACTCTGAAGAAGGTTAATAGTCAGAATCTTAAAAAAAACCATTCCTTTTTTTTCCCATATGAATGTAAAAACGTTTACAAGGACCAAAGAAGAATGAGGGCTAGAATCCCAAAACCGACAGAAAAATGATATCATATAAAAACCAAAGCATTTGATAGAATGATGTTAACCACACATCAGCCATCCATTCCCTAAGCATGAGCAGTAGAGATTAACTAGATGGGTCCTATTAAACATTCATCCAGCCAGTTAGTCTCCTCTGTCAGTCGCCACAAACGACCAGCAGTGCAAATTGGTTATATGATATATTATACATCTAAGTAGAGTGTGGTTTACAACTTTCCTTTCCCTTCCTATTCCGATATAGGCAAATGAGCCCAAATAATCTCAAGAAGTATGCCTAAGATATCATTTTTCCCTTTTTCTCTTTCATCAAAATAAAAGAAAGATTTAGAATATTACCTGTAAAAGATAGCCATGCAGCCAATCCAATGTTTGAGGAAAAGTTGTTGCAGAAATGTTGACCACTGTCATACCCTGCAACCACAACTCGGGCCAAATAAATAAGGGAAACGCCAAAAGCCTGGGAATTAGCATTTTTATCACACTTATTCTTGATAAAAAAAGGTCTAGGTTGGAACTTCAATTTGTGACACTAAATAAGCAAATAAAAATGCTTGCCCGTGATTCAAATGAACAGAGGTAGTCCTGAATAGTTTTCAAATTGCTTATAAGAACATCCGGGTCCTGAAAAAATGACAATGAAAGAACGTTACCCCATTTTTAAATCATAAAAGAATACTATATAATTTTTTGGTGGGGTTTATGTAATGCATCAACCTTAAAAAATCAAGGTAAGACGCACCTCCAGGCCTTGCCAAAAGATGCAGTTCCAGTGCCAACAACCCCTATGATGTCCTAGATATCTATTTCAACCCTTAATTATGAAATTCAATGCTCCATAAATGGTGTAGATCGAGCATATTTATCAATACTTGAAAAACTTGCAAATGGAAAGTCACGTAATGTGTTACAAGATGCACTATTTCTAGGATTTGAATTTTTATTTTTATTTTTTTCCCAATTTCTGCACATCTCGAGGTTGAGATGATCAATTGGGGTTTTCCACGTCATAATAACCTTTTCTGGTGGTTTTTTGAGGTGTGCCTTACTTTTATAGTATGATAAGGTTGACATTGTATACAAATTCTTCCATAATTTTTTAAAAAATTATGTAAATTTCTTATTCCAAATACATAAATACAGTCACATTTTCCAAAAAAAGAATATTACATAATCAAGTCGGACACTGCCGGACATCTAATTGCATATAAGGGGCACTAAGCAGAGAAAAACAAGTTTAAATATTATATAAATTGTTCTAATAGAAACTATAGTACAACATTTGGTAATCCAAGAGCAGTATAGACTTATAGGTCCATTACACATTTTATCCCAAGTATCTAATCAGCTTCATAAGGTCACCCTGGACAAGTTGGCGGTATGATACTTGTTAATAAGCATACGACAGGTGCAATTCTCAAGATCACCAAGATATGAAGTTACAGTATAAAATGGAAGTATAAGAAAACTAGAAAGGTCTCCATCAAATCACCCCAACTTTTTTTTTTTTTGATAATGCGACCAGATTACCACTATCAAAGATATATACAAAAAAAGCGCTTTGTGAAAATCATAATTTAGCACCATTAGTTAAGTGCAGACATTCTTCTTAAGCCAACTGAATAGGTTCCTGTCAATGTCATACCTGAGCTAGACCTTTGTCCCCAAATGTTCGAGCGGATATCCATTCCTCAAGCAATGCCTACAAGTAAAGCAAAAAATTAAATTATGTATTAATGAAATAGATAAAAAACACTGGTCCACTGGCTTCACATCATATCCTGTGATGTCAAGAGGAAGCATACAACATAGATGACTTGGACCAGAGGGAACACAATCAACAATGGAAAATAAACACGTGGTGATGTTTGTAGGTCATACAAGATACGCGAAAGCATGACCACTTTCAGGACAGCCCTGGTGCTATCTATAACTCAATTTCCCCAAACTAGCTCTAAATTGGACAAAAAATGGTGTTGATTTTCCAAGAGCATGAGTTTCCATGGCCCTGTTAGATGCTTATGCCAAAAAATTGCTGGATACATCAATTGCTGGAAAATTCCCTAACACCCTTCCCATCATACTAAAAAGAGTATTTCCTATGGTGCAAAATCAAATCTCTTCTCATAATAGATTATATATCATGAACCAGCGAATAACAACTCGCGAACTCGGGCTCACGTGAGTCACTTAGACTCTGCAAGGCACCAAGTTTCACAATTCATGGGATTACTGTGTTAATTTTTCATAGACTCAGACAATCCCTGTATAAACTCGGCAGAGCTTGGTCTCTGGCCCTACCCGCGTCCAAGCCCGAGTCAGTGTGCTAATTAAATCAGAAAAACAATAATGATGCTCCCAGTCAATTAGGACAGGTAAAGGAGAAGAGCTGAAAACATATCCACGCATGCAATACTTGACCTTGTGATCAAAATCAGCCATCTTTAATACTATGGGGATGATTACTGGCTCAGCAGCTGGCTTTCCATTCTTTCCTGACTTTTCTGTTTTTGATTCCTGAACCCTTGCTGTGTCAGCTACAAACCCTAGAGAACATTATCACATTGAAATCTCAATAAGTAAAACATTATAATGTATTGGGAAGTTTCAAAACAAATCCTGGAAACCTGCAGAAATAGTACACATGCTTTAGAAACATGGCATCCCAGAACAATGAGGGATCCATCAATTTTTTCCCTAAAGAACAATTTTGTTCCTGATATGGTATTAGAAATGTCACGCAAGTGAGATTTCACTAAAATAGTAATTAAAAAAAAAAAGAAGAGAAAATTACAGTCACTGTTTGACAATCATGTTTATGGAGCACCAGCTTGATTTACGCAAGTTTCTCCAGGCACTGCAAATTGCTAGTTTGAATGAACCCAAAACCAGCAGATTTTTGGATTATAGTCCAAAAATCAAGTGATAAGCAATTTGGGCAGTTTGGACAATAGCAAGTTTTTCAGATTGGGATCTAGAAGGGTTTCCTACTAAGGAAACATCTCACATGAAAATATTCAAGTCACACTTGAATTTTTTCAGATGACCCTTGAGGACCAAACACATACCATGTGCTCTCTCTCTCTCCCCAAAAAAAAAAAAAATCCTCTAAATCTACATGGCATGCACTCTATCTCTCTGCCCATTGCACCTGAATCCTTGTTTACGAATCTCCATGGTCCACTTAAAACCCTAATATATCCTCAACACTAGGTTTGCATTGTGATTATTTAATGAATTCTCTACAACTACCATGAGAAAAAGTTTAGAAATAGCACCACCATCTTTAATGGCATTATTGAAGACAACCTTCATCACAACTTCCCCTTTCACAGGATTCTTCCATATGAAACCCTAGTCCCATCATCCATTCAGTTAGCTGAATGGACCAACCTGTTATAGCCTATAACTGCATACTAACCAGATTCATGCACACTAGTTTGATCACACACTTTGTAGCCATGACCCAAAATTTTGGTGGAGAGAGAAGGGAGAAGACATTGATAGAACCAGAGAGCCCAGTATCGAAGCCATGGGGCAAATGGATTAAGACCCTAAAGTGAGAATGGATTTTTGTGAACCAGAGGTGTACTTGAATGAAAACCAAATGCTCTTTCTGAATCCAGACTTTGAGAAGGGTTTGAGATCTTGATTTTGCAGGACAGGTGCAACGAAAACGAACTCGATCGGTTCTTGCCACGGCCACGGCCATGGATGCAGATAAACCAGGCTGAAGAAAAAGAAGGGACGGAAACAAAAGAAGTAGAGAAAAAAGGAAACACAAAGGAGTTAGATAGGGACGAGGGAGTGAGAAGGGTGAAAAGAAAGATCGAGCAATGTGAGGACAAGGAAGCAAAGAAGCGGATGCCATATATGTCTAAGGGTATGGCCATGGCCAATCTCTCTCTCTCTC